CAAACACGGTGGCAACCTGCAGTACGCAACCGCGATGGGAGCGTGAGTGGCACCGTACTCTGTATCAGACAATGGTCCGAGGAGCCAAGAGGGGCATAAACGGTGAGACCTGACATGCGTCCGGATGAGAGGTCAACGGAAGGTCCAACAGGGAAGGTACGTGATCTTCCACATCGGGGATCCGCGTAGGCGAGGTAACCAGTTGTGTCAGACCATACGCCAAAGCAAAGTCGTAAACAGATCTACCCGTATGATCGGTTAAACGAGAATCAAGCCATTCAGCATGGTGGGCGTTAAAATCACCAAGTATCACGATCTCTGCGGATGGCAGCTTGTAGCACGGAGTCTGCAGCCATCTGGACGTGGTCGATCAGTCGATCTGTGTCGGCATTACCGCTGTGGGACCTATATAGGCACCCGTAGAGGCGGGGATGGTCGTCGCTAGCCATAAGATGGACAGGTCAGTACCTTTAAGGCTATCGAGGCGTCGAAAACAGATGTCCTCTTTGACGTACACGCAAACTACAGCCCGGGGCACAAAAGAGTGTTCTAATCTGTAACCCAGGCAGGAGAGATATAAAGTGTCAGCCGGAGAGGACACCTGTGTCTCGGTTAGAAAGAACAAGGACGGCTTCGCCGTTTCCAGATGGTAATGGACGGCGTTAAGGTTCGAATGAAGTCCTCTGATGTTGCACAAATCCACGGATAGCGTGGCAGGGGGCGCCTTTGACTTATTGCTTCGTTTGCCCCGAGCAGGTTTAGTCTCGAGCGGAATTTCGCCCCCCCAGAATACGAGGGGCAGCCTGAGCACCCACGCTCAGGAAGATTAGGGGAGTTTGGGCGTGGATGCTCACGGGGGGTGCCGGTACCCTCTTGGGGTAGTGATATATTTAATTCCGCTACCATGTTAAGGGGGGAGGGGATTGGGCCTCTATATATATATCAACAATTATATAATAATATAATACTAGCTTGCCAGACAGACGTTGTTCTGCCCTTTTCGTCGACCCTGTCATGTACTATCAAAATCCTTAAATTCGCAAAAAAAAACACTATCCTATCTCTCAAGTTGGACCAAACTGCACATGGTGTGCAAATTTGATTAAAATCGGTTAAATAGTTTAGGAGTTTATTGCGGACAAATAACGTGACACATACTTTATATATATATATATATATATATATATATATATATATATATATATATATATATATATATATAAAGATATCAACAATTGATTAAAACTATTTTTACGGATTTTATCGCGTTTATTTTACTATTATTTTTAATTAGTGTAAAGTCCCTCGTGACCATGGGTGCTGGAAAGCGCCCGAAACGTCGGCGTTCGCGTAAATATAAGAAATCATTAGATATCAACAATTGTCAAGAAAGCTAAAAGGCTAATTTACCTCATGAGAAAAGCTGTCCTAAGACCGGAAATGATGCTTAAGATCCACAAAACATTTATCAGATCAATATTAGAATATGCATTGTGAAAAACACCCAGCCCCCGGGGGACCCAAGGCCCCCCCCAAACAAACCAAGTCCACACCAAAAACTGGGACCCCTACTTTATCAAGGACATTGAAGCTTTGGAAAAAGTACAGCGTAGCTTCACTAAAGTACCACGGCAATTGAAAGCAATTTTATGAAGGATGTTTGAAAGTTCATAAACATACAACATTAAAAAACCACAGGGACCAAGGAGATCTAATCGAAACCTCTAAGATCTTTAGTGGATATTACGACGTTGAGGAGTTTGACAAATTGTTTATTCATAATGAAAACACTCACCTCAGGGGCCATTATCTTAAGCTACGTACAATCTTCTCAAACATCAACCCCATAAGCACTTCATTTGTAACCGTGTAGTCATAGAGTGAAATAAGCTGTCAGAGAACATAGTCTCGGCCCAAAATGTAACCAATTCAAAAATAGATTAGATAATCATTTTCAAACAAACAGGTTACAAATTATAATAATGTTGCGAGCTTGAGGTTCGTGACAATAAAAATTGCCGATAGAATTACCAAAATTAACTCTTTAATTCACTTTACACTAATTAAAACTTAAAAGACTAATAACTAATTTATTTAAAATTAAGCGCCGTCGGTTGAAAGATTAGTGATGTCATTTTCTGGAAAGCTCCCCTCGCTCTCGTCCCCGACACTAGATGGCGCTAGTGCCGGATACATGACGTCAACTTAGGCGCGCAACACTCCCCCCTTCTAAGACAAGCTCGTCCCGAGCATTATCGACCCCATAATAACGCGCCAGGCGATCCAAATGGACGATCTTAGGAGTCCCTCTTGCGCCTTTCTGTAACGGCTCCGCAATGTCAAGGGCTGTCCTATCCCATGGTGCACCGACATTGTACAATTTCGATGCTCCTCTACTACGTGTCTGAGGTCCCCTCACAGCCGCACAACTTGTACATGTACGATACCAATCCTCGACATCGTCACGATAATGTACCCAGTAAAACTGTTTTCGGACCTTCAGTAGAGTTCGTTTAACTCCCAGATGGACTCTTGAACGACCATTATGGCACAGCTGTAGAACATTCGGCATTTTAGCTTTAGGGACAACCATTTGCAAACGACAGCTGTCTCCTCGACCATTGTCCCATTTACGGCACAGGACTCCATCCTGAATCAGCAAGCTGTCCCATTGGGCCCAATAGCTTTTAGTGGTCGAACTCATCGCCGAGACGTCGCTCCACTTAGGCTTGGTAGCACGAGCCTTCATCCATTCCAGAATCGGCTTGATGTCCGGATCTTCCTGCTGTGCATGTCGTAGGCTGTCCTTTCCACTCGTTGCTGAGGTGGTCTGTCCTGAGCATCCTCACGGATACCACTTCCTTACTCTCTTGCCTAGTACAATGTTTCCAATCTTCAGGACAAGGTCTTCTTGACAATGCATCTGCGTTGCCATGAGATTTCCCGCTGCCGTCTGATAGTGAAGTCGTATCCCGGCTGCTGCTGGCCGGTGATGTTAGCTGCACTTCCCTTCTGAGATCGTTCACCTGCCCTTTCTAGGGTTCGCTTAGGGCAGCTGGATCGAAGATGGCCCCTTTCCCCACAGCCATAGCACCTAGGGCTCTATCCTTTATTGTGGTCGCGAACCGTAACTGCTGTAACCTCCCTGGCGGGAGGGGAACGATGATCCTGCCACCGCCAGGCGGTGCCGTTAGCTGCACTACCCTCTTGACATCGATCAACTTCCCTTTCTACAGTTCGCTTAGGGCAGCTGGATCGAAGATGGCCCTTTTCCCCACAGCCATAGCACCTAGGGCTGAATCCTTTGTTGCGGTCGCGAACTGTAGCTGCTGCAACCTCCCTGACGCGATGGGAATGGTGATCCTGCCGCACGGCTTCCACCTCCAGTGCATGGGCCAAGGCGTCCTTAAGCGTCTCGTGGTGCCCGAGCCTCACAGCAGCTCTGACTTCCAGTTCGCGGATGCCGTCGATGAATGTCTGCACCAGATTCCCTTCAATGAGCGCAGGTACAGATCGGTATGCTTTTCGCACCAGCTTCTCCACCTCTAGAGCCCACTGCTGCAGGTTTTCATTGATGCGCTGCACGCGATCTTTAAGCTGCGCACGAAAGACGTGTTCCAGGTGAGCGTCGCCATATCTCGCCTCCAATGCCTCAAGGAGCTGCTCATAAGTCACTTCCTCACCGAGAGCTTCCAGAACAGTTAAGGCCTGATCGCGCAGGCCTAGTGTGAGAGCAGTCATGGCCTGACTTTTATTCCAGCCGTTCGCCTTCATAACGGCTTCAAACTGGATTTTGTAAGCTGACCAGGAAGAAGTCCCGTCGAACGGTGGCACTTTGAACCCACGTAGCGAAGGTGTTGTAGCTACTACGGGAGCTGTAATTCCATCCCCAGTTTGAGGTCGTCCAGCGTTTTCTTCACGTCAGCCATCACGTTGTCAACCCGATTGTTCACTTGGTTGATTCGGGTTTCAGCTTTCTCGATTCTGAAACCCGAATTTCCCGGTTTCGGGAAAGGGTTTCAGCTTCTGACAGGCGGTTGTCATGCTGAGCAACCCTATCCTTCACCTCCTTGATCTCCTTCCCGAAGGTAGCGTGAAGATCCTTCATGAGGAGCATCTGCTCTTCCAACCGACGGGCCTGTTCCTCTTGTCCGTCCCGCAGCTGCTCTTCCAAACGACGGACCTGTTCCTCTTGTCCGCCCCGCAGCTGCTCTTCCAAACGGCGGGCCTGTTCCTCCTGTCGGCGAGCCTGTTCCTCCTGTCGGCGAGCCTGCTCCTGCAGCATCACCATCAGAGCACCTAAGTCAGGTGCTGCAGATGTAGGAGCTACTGACGGGCCTGCAGCCGGCGGCTGGCCCTCCGACGTCTGCGGCGTTGTACCACCAAATCTTCTTTGGTCCGTCTCCTGCTGGCGTTGACTTCGGGTACGGACACCCTCCGTTTCCTCCTTAGGTAAAATCGGCATGATTTTATCCCACTTCTGATACCAATTTTTACGAGCTTGAGCTACACATTATCACCGAAACATCCAGAATATTCAAGTAAATACGCGCGCCAATCGACAAGGCGTCGAAAGTTCGAGTGTCGGGCTTCTAGAAGCTTAGTTCTTCGTTTGAAAGATTAGTGATGTCATTTTCTGGAAAGTTCCCCTCGCTCTCGTCCCCGACACTAGATGGCGCTAGTGCCGGGTACATGACGTCAACTTAGGCGTAAAAGTGTGTAGAAGTGACGACCCCATCGCCCGCTGTCATAATTGGTGACAATACGCAGTCAGTCAACACCTTGCCAAGAGGTGTTAGTGCCGTGCCTCGGCAAAAATTGAAGGTGCAAAGGCCCGCTTATGCACGTGGCCTCACCATGAAACGGCGCCGGGTCTGGGCGTCTCCCGTTAAATGGAGCCCACAAAAACGGATGATGGAATACAGAAGAACCACCGTAAAAAATGGCCGCTGCCTGGATGTCGCCAGGGTGCGTCTGGAGCTGGCGCTGGGCGCGACAACATGCGAACCGCCAGCCGAGTGCGAAGTACTGCACGACCACCCAGCAACCCACCAGCACCAGCAGAGTCTTCACAGGCTCATCATTCGGCACCCGCCACTGGTGGAGTACGCCGCTGCACTGTACAATCCAAGAACAGCAACGCATTACGGGCCTATTTTATGGCGATAGGGAGAGAAATTGGAGGTTTTGCGTTTCGGGCTATGATGCATCGACTTTTTGCTGACCTGGAGCCATCTGCAACCGTCACCGAGCAAAACCTGGCAGACCGTGTTTGGTATATCTTGCGCTCAAATATATTTGATGTCGCCGTACTCGAACGACTACGACCTGAGGCGGCTTTTCATCGGATGAAAATGCTACGGCTAAAGATGCGGTGCCATAACTTGCAGAGCACTTGGACAAACGTGGATGCCGCCGTGAATATCCCAGTTGTGCTTGATTCAAACGATGATGGAACAGTCGCCTAGAAAATGGAACTAGAAAAAATGAGGAGTAAGTTGGAAGAGGCGATTGTGGAAACACGCAGTTGGAAGAGGCGATTGTGGAAAATCGACCGCGACTTCCCCGCATAGCCCTAAGCAAGCGGAATCTGGCTGTCGTGAGGGCACTAAACCCAATGCAGGTGACCTATTCGGAAGTCAGCCGAGGCCTTTGCGGGACGAACTCAATTCTTTTTGGCGCCGCACTGGCAATCTGCCGTATTCTAAACGCCTAACTATCTACGGTTGGACGCGTTACTGAACAAAATAGCGCTATCCCAGCCTGGTGAGTAAGAATTGAAGTACGTATCGCAAGGGCTAGGGCCCTTATCGGCAGACTGATATGATTCAGGTCAGGTAATAACAGACCAAGGATTGTGCGCACCGTCAGGATGGCGTTTGCTTCAGCCGGATATAACACAAAAACTGACGGGGCGCATAGACGACCTGAAGCAGAGAATCGCTGCTTGGGGAAAGCGGATTCGGCGATATACCGAGAGGTCCACACAGTTCAACCAGAATCGTCCCTTCCAGAGTGATCATTAGAGGCTCTATAAATTATTTGAGTGACCAATGGTAAGTGGAACGGGCCCAGCACCGAATCAGGCCGACACTGTCGCATTCTGGCGCGGTCTGTGGTCGGAACCCGTAAACCACAGCGAGGGCCCTTGGACGGAAGTTGTGGTGAGATAGTGTGCGAGCGTTACGCCCATGGACCTCGTCATTATAACGCCGGCTGACGTAGCTGAGGCGGTCCGTAGGGCCCCGAACTGCAAAAGTCCGGGACTCGACAGGCTGCATCACCACTGGCTGAAAGGGTCCGTGGTGTGTCACGCTGTGCTCGCCATACAGTTTCAAGAGGTTCTCGACCAGAAGTCGCTCCCGAGCCTCTTCACTACTGGGGTCACTCATTTGGTTCCTAAAGACGAAGATACCACAGAAGCAAATACCGCCCCATCACGTGACTACCGACCATATACAAGACACTAACATTCATTTTGAGTGCGAGAATCACTCGTCACCTGGACTCAAATCAGGTAATGTTGTGCGCTCAAAATGGACGTCGGGACGGTGGTCGTGGGACCAAGGAACCACTCCTTATCGACGCGGTCATGGGCAAAATGGTAAAATGCAACCGTCGGTACTTCGTTGCCTGGATAGACTACAAAAAGGCAATCGACTCGGTGCCCCATACATGGCTAAAGAGGGTGTTCGAGCTGTGCAAGGCTGACTGTACAGTTAGAGACTTCCTCGAGCAGTGTATGGGGGAGTGGAGTACGATCCTTTGTCAACTGGGCGAGCGGATGACGGCTGCGGAAAGCCACATAAGGATAAGAAAGGGTATCTTCCAGGGCGATTGTCTGAGTCCAATTTGTTTCTGCCTCTCTTTGAACCCTCTTAGTACTTTACTGGAGGGCTCCGGGAGGGGTTTTCAGCTTCGGAAGGGAGGTACAAAAGTGACCCACCTTTTCTATATGGATGACCTCAAGTTTTGCCTCCAGTCGCTCCCATCTTATGGAATTGCTAAACATCACTTGTGAATTTAGCAATTCTATTGGAATGGACCTGGGGACGGATAAGTGTGCGGTCCTACATGTTGAAAGGGGAAGGGTTGCTAACTCTGAGGGTAAAGACTTATCTATGCCCGTCAATTTACGGACCCTTTCCGAGGCTGAAACATACGGATACCTGGGTATGTCACAGAATATCGGTATCGATCGTGTTTCATGCAAGCTTTACCAAAGTGCTTAGAGGCCTTTGGTATGGTGTGAATTAGACACAAGCATATAACGGTTAGATTATGCGTAATCGCGAAGTGTGCAGCCTCCGTAATTACTTTCTGACGAGATCGGATGATCCATTCTATGGGGACGTCATTTCTTGTGATAAAGGGCTTACCCCTCTATCCTTAGCCAACGAGCAATGGCAAAACCCAGCAGTACAGAGCATTTCCAACCGGGAGACCATATGGAAGGAGAAGGAGCTCCAAGAGGGTTCTACAAGGTTCTACGTGAGCCTTTCGTAGACACAGTTGCCTCCCTCCACTGGCTACGTTTTGGTGACCTCTTTGGGGAAACCGAGGGTTTTGTCTGTGCGATACAGGATCAGGTTATTAAGACTAACAATTATCGGAGATGCATCCTAAGTGATGGCACCCCGGTTGCCATCCCGGTGAGTCACTTAGGTATGTCATCTCCGGTTGTTTGGCGCTTTCTAACTCTGAGTACTTGCACAGGCACAACGTAGTAGCCAGAATTCTACACCAGGAGCTCAGTAAGCGAATACCGTTCGGTGATTCTGAGTATAAGGTACGCAACCCTCGTGGACACACTCCCAATTTTTACAACGTTGTTAACGAGATACTTGTGGACGATAAATGCGACACCTTCTTGGGAAATATGATCGCCCTCCGGTGATAGAACAAGTTACCGGATTCGAGGTTTACCTTGTCCTCCCCCTCTCTTCGGACCTCAGAATATCCTATAATGTCCCAGCGCAACTTGTCTATCTCTTCTTCCAGCTCCAGAATTTAATCCCGTCAGTCCTCAAGGTGAGTGCGTTATATGTTGCCAGGTCGGGTAGTCTTAGGTGGCAGCCGAACCTCCGGAGATTCTTAGCACCCCCTGCCCCGCTGTTACGAGCGAGTTGATAACCGCAGTTTTTTACTGCTGTTTGCTGTTATCAGAAAGATGCTGCCGCTCATCTTCTGCCTCAGTTTCCCTCTGTCGCCTATTATGATACCCACGGGATGATATGGGGTAGTGCGTATTCTTACTCGCCACTTCACGGGCATACAGAAATTGTTGAAATTATTTTTACTGAACCTTTACTTTTCCAATGTTTAACAATTTAATAACATTTATATCATATAATATTTAATAATTTATGAGTACAATTTTTTTACACACATTTATTTGTCAGTATGTCGACAATCACTTAACATTGATTGATATTATTTATTGATTGATTAATTCGGGTTATGTATTGGTTGATTGTGGTGGGCTACTTTGTTTTGGGTTGACATTCTCAATCAACTTGTTTTATTGAGAATGTCAATTTTATTATATTACATATTTTATATCAGTATCCGGATGACCGACATTTGCTCGGTTTTTTTTTTGAAATTACATTTAGATACAAATTACATACTGATGAATAATATTTTTTGATCTTATTGACATAATAGAAAAAACTGAACTGGTTATTTGAATAAAAAATCATGAGTGCAATTAGTTTAATTAAAATTTTCATATTTTTAAAAAATACTAAAAAAAGGGGCTCGAAATAATAGATTTTCTCACAAAAGAAGGGAACTTGAAAAAAAAAGGAAAAAAGTCAGACCAAAGACGGGACTCAAACCAAGGGATTACGATTTCGCGACCGCTCGCTATCCACTTGAGCTATTACGATCATTAACACAGTGTCAAAATGTACCTTCTTATATTGTAGCAGTTTTTCATTGCCTGAAAACAAAAAACAACAAAACACGGACAAAAAAAACATTTTCTAAAAATAAATCCTAGCTAGATCGATTTATTGACTCCGAAACTCCCTGGACACTATATATATATACAAGAATTGCTCGTTTAAAGGTATAGGATAATTTTTTAATTACATACTAGCTATAGCTTTGCTACGTAATTGAGAAAAAGTTAAATTTTACATTTCAAGTGTTGTCATGATTTTCAAATTTTCTTACAGCCCTGAACACCTTAAAACTGGCAAAGAATTAATGCTGCATACAAATGTTCCTGCAGTAGGCCTCCTCCCCAAGGATACAAATACAAATAAAGATGGGGACAATCTTAACATAGTTAAGAAGTTTAAGCTACGAGTGGAAAGAGACAGAAGAAACCTGTATGTTAAGAAATTAAAGTACAGAGGAATGAGACTTTTGCCACTTTCACAAGAGGTGAGTACATCCTTACCGTACAAAACTTCCGTTACACAGCCTATTGAAGTCCACTGCTGGACATAGGGCTCTCCCATAGATTGCCTCGCACGGGAAATATTTGCCATAGTTGTCACTCTTGGAAAACACTTCATCTTCCCATTCATCAACATATATGCAATTGTTATTTTATATACTTTAAAAAAATATTTTCTGGTAAGACGTACTGGAAGTTGATAGATGCAGGTGTTTAGCAGTGGACTTGTGAAGAGCTGTAATGATGAAGCTTAATATTCCCATACAAATACACAGAAAGAACTTTTTGATATGGCTAGGGTAGAAGAATTTGTAACTTGTGTACTTTTGTTCCTGTTCCGTAGAATGCCTCATAACCTGCCATTATACTGATTCTTAATATTCTTCAGATGAGAATACAGCATTTGCAAGGATTGTTATTTTGAGGTCTCCCAAGATGGACCTTTAGTCAAACAAGGAGTCCTACTGAGTAATTGACTTGAGGTAAATTGTGGTGGAAATACTATGCTCTGCTTTGTCTGGCAAAAGATGAAGGATAATTTCTTTTAAGTGTCGACAGCAAGGAAAACAAGTGATCGTAACCAATTGTAAGAGGCAGGCTGCATACATCGAATCATTTAACTCAAAGCACACTAATTATACCAATAGTGGGCAGACATTGGCGGTTAACTTCCGGAATCGAACATTCATTCGAATCCAAATGTCAACGAAAACCACGATCGTACGTACGACGTCTTTTGCGTGCGCTTTCTGTCCAGCAGGTTTCGGGCCTCACGTCATTCCTCATTACCCGGGTAATCCTTACAGCCCACTACTATGGGCCGGTCATGGGAGCCGTTCAGGAACGGGATTGTTGGCTATCTTCTTAGCTTGGCATATTTCGCGCCCCTAGGAAGGTTCTGCCGAAGGGTCAGCAGTCTCAAAGCCCCACGGTGACTCGCAGAGGATGGGTCTCAACGTAGACCCAATTCCGCTGACAGGTGTGCGCTCCTGATAACAGCACCATGGGCCTCAGGTGCTTCTTCCTAGTTTGTTGTGTATGGCCTAGTATATAGGCATTCATGGCGTATCTCACGCCTCTAAGAAGGGATCTGCCGAAGGTTCAGCGACTTCATAATCCCACGGAGACGGATCCCGACGCGGAGTTGATGTCACCAACAAGCGTGCGCTCTTCTGACAGCAGCACGCCGGGCCTCCGGAGTTCGCTTCTCAACGTATTAGGTGACACGCAGCGTTGGGAATATATCATCCCAGGAGGGGTCAGGGGCGAACTTGAAGCCCGTAAAACCAAGTACACCCCAACGGCACGTACACCCACTGCGAAGCGACGCGCTGTACTCCTCCCTCCCCGGCGGATGCCGACGACCGGCGGACGATAACCATCGGCGAATGCGGTCCGGACGCGACTTAACCACGATCGGCTCATCTATAATGTACACATAATTCAAATTTTAATTGATGGGTTTGGAATTTAAATTCCGGTGATTCAATTCGGCAGTTTGATGTGCATTACTTAGTAAATGGCGACTAGTCTCAAAGGAGATTAGCGTAGGATGGGATTATAGTGGCCAAGTGTATGCCAATAATTGATTTTTAACCAACCTGGGATTCGAACTTGGGATCACATGATAAATCAAGTTTACGACCACTAGGTCAATGTAACAGTCAAAGTCAGTGTTATTAAATTCTTATTTATTAGTAGTAAAAGGTGCCAATCTCGATTTCAGGACACTGAAGATGTGGAAATATCAAAAGGGCCACAATTGCAGCCAGGAAAGGACTTGTTGTTCCGAGTTCGCTTTTATAGGCCGTTTTTATGTGGCAAAGAAAGAAATGTAAGTTCTTTATTATTTTGCTGTAGGACTTGATTTTGTTTTTTAAATAATATACACACTACATAATCGTCGTCGAATTTTATACCACGCCAGTGCTTTTTTAGGTAAGCAAAAAGGTGTAAATCACTCTGACCTAGGTCCGGCGATTATGGTGGGTGCTGAATCAATTGAAACCCAGCAGGTCGGATGGCAGCGCTGGCAACATCAGATTGATGGGCATTATCATGATGAAAAAACACTCCAGCACGCAATTTTCTTTCACGTTTACTCTTTAGTTCTTCGCGTAGTTTTTCGATCGTTGTCTCTCTTTTACCAAAACAGTTGATCATTATTATACTGTGGCCGTAGAAGGAAAAGGGATCTCCTGGCGAGCAAGGTGTTCTGCCCGGGGAGCGGCCAACACTCCGTGCGATTGTTCGGAGCTATTCTACATATACTGTTTTGATTTGGAACTTTGATAACGCGATTTAGGCTTCGATGTGTTTCGCTCGTGGCACGACGACAGCGTCGCCACAATACCTTCCGCATCCCAGACGATAGAGGTCATTATTTTTCCAGCGCATGCAGACAACTTGAATCTCTTGGCTGCCGGGGAAGAAAGTCTTTTTCATAATTTATTTGGGATTTCTGTCTCCGAGACAAAATGAACGAGCGCGAAAATAATCTAGATCTTCTTCCATTGTTTTTTTTACTTTTGGGCGTCTGTTAACATTCGAGGAACTCAGAACGTGGCTGCCCTTTTGTATTTTGAGGCATGAGGTAAAATAAATTTAATTGTCCCAAACAAAAGCTTTAGAATCTCTGCTAAATAATGGATTCACACATACTTCAATCTACCTACTACCTTAACAGTTTCTTAGATTTTATTAACGTTTGTAGTGTTATGCTACTTACATATCATTTTACACTATTTTAAATTTATTTTTCCATTCTGTTTATGATTTTCTGCATTAGCCTCAAAACTGGATATTTTGCATCACCTTTATTTTCATAGGATCCTGTAACGTTTTTAAACCATAAGAACACAATAACAAATCATTTTCACATCGTATTTTCACGTTATCAGCACTTTTTAAAACGGTGTCAATGGAGTCTACCTTTTTCGGTATTTTATTTAGTTCTCCGTATCTCTGCAATTTCGGGCTTCGTGCGCACTGTTGCGCTACCTTTTTTCCTATATCAATAATATCTCATTTTTCACTTAAATCTTGCCGTTTCTCTATTACGAGCCTAAAACCAAAATTTGACATGTTTTGACATCGTTGTTTATCTGGTTGTCATGGCAATTTTTATTCAAATATCGTTACCGGCCTGATGTTTTTACTTCAAAAATACTCTTTTCTTCTTGGCCATTTACAAAAATTTGCTTTCAATTTAAATAATTTCAAATAATTTCTCGTTCTTATCCCAGATCCGTCAAAAAGTATAAAAGCCGAGGAATCGGCGAATAGAGGTTCTCACTTCAGCTTTGATACGAGAAGCACCTCTTAAAGGCTTTATCCGCACTGCCTCGGGATCTTGCAAGCCTCTGCCTTCTCCTGAAGTCGTCGCCTAGCCGCGCCTACGCCTCCACCTATTAGTGCCCGCGCTATCTTCGGCCGCTGTGCGTGCTTGTCTCAAGCGCTGCGTGTTCCTGCTCCAGACGCTGCGTGTCTCCGGCGCTCCGGGCGCTGTTTGTGTCTACTCCGGGCGTTGTGTGTGCCTACTTTAAGTGCTGCGTGTACCTGCTCAATACGCTGTGAGTACCTACTCCAGACGCTGCTGGACCTACTCCAGACGCTGCGTGTCTACTCCAGGCGCTGTGTGTGTCTACTCCGGGTGTTGTGTGTGCTCATTCTGGTCGCTGTGTGTGCCTACTTCAAGCGCTGCGTGTACTTAGATTAGGCGCTGTGCATGCACCGCACCGCACCGCATAGCCTGTACATACATTGTTTCCGTACTCATTTATCTTTATTAACTTTTATTCTTTTTTTAAAAAAAAATTGTAATTCACTATCATCACTACAGCCCATCATCACCCTCATACCTTTTTTTTATATAAAAAAAAAACTGTAAATATCTTTACAAATTTTAAATAAATTATTTTCTTTTTGGTTGTTTAGTTGTTAGGTTAGGTTCTACAGTTTTTAATTGTGGCTTTACATTTTATAAAAGAAACTGTAAATATCTTTACAAATTTTAAATAAATTATTTTCTTTTTGGTTGTTTCATTGTTAGGATAGGTTCTTTAGTTTTTTAACTGTCGCTTTACGACACGTTATCTTGCGTAGCGGCTGTTGTGGGCACCCGGAGCAAGCGTCGTCATTGCAGCGGTTCTGTCGTGTTTGAATTCGGCGCACCAGTATGCCGCTGCAGAATAAGCCGTAGCATTGTCTGCCAAAATAGACTGCAATTCTTTAAAAACACTTTTTGTTGATAACATTTTTGGATAGTAATATTAAATAACCGCACGAATTTCGACTTACTCCATTTTGCATACGTGATGTGGCGGCGCTGTCGTCGCGCCGCAAGCGAAACACACCGAACCTTAAATCACGCTATCAACATTCCGAATCATGAACAGCATATATAGAACATCTCCGAACTATCACATGGAGTGTGGCCGCTCCCCGGGCATAACACCGCCCGGCGGGAGATCTCCGCTTTTCCTAATTCGGCCACAGTGGTGACCACCCGACGTGATCTGAACACGCAACCAAATACCTTCGGAAACTACAACTTCAAGCCTTCGTCATTATCCTCAAAAACCCCTACCATTCACTACTGAGAATCGTCTTCTGCAGTCTTCAGTTCCTGCAAGCCAGTCCAACTTGTCTTCGTCTCGACTCACCGCAGATTTATAAGGCATACTTCTGGCACTTGCTCCGGCACATCGTTCTCACCGGCATCACTTGCCAGTGCGTAGTACGGCATGCATTACACATCGGCATATCATTCGCACCGGTGTCACTTGTCCTTACGCACACAGCATGCATTCCCCCCCGGCATTAAAGGACACACCGGCAATCGGACTGCACTATCGACCTCTGGTCTGAGCAGGGGGGTGATGGTGGCGGCGCATCACATCCTCAAAAGCAAAAAAACTACACAGTGTGGGATCCCCAAATGGTAAATAAATATTGTGTCATGCGTCTTATAGTTACATGAACGACGTACTCTGCTACCTGGTGACTTACAACGTTTAGCAGTACATATTAAATCCGACCCCAAGCAAGGCAAGAAGTGACAGTAACTTAGTAGTTAAGGGCTAAGAATTCAAATTGCCTTTTAAGTGTATACTTCATATGACTCCTTAGAGTGGTTATTAATATACGTCTGAACGTGTGTACGAGCACATAGTCCAACTAATGCTAAGTGGATGCTGTGGCTCTCAGATATCCACATTTATCCTTAATGAAGAATCAAAACGCAAATGTGTTGTCACCCCTGAGCACTAAGATGGAATGCCTCGATTCCTGTAAATAGGGTCTCCGGTTGTCTACACCCTACCACCATACGAAACATATCATTACGCTGCTATTTCTCGTTGGTATTTTTGAAAGCGTGGTCCTGCCCAAGTCGAGCCAATCCGTTCGTGCTACAACTAATACAAATATTGTTTAAATATATAGTATTATTTTTTAGGGTTCCGTAGTCAACTAGGAACCCTTATAGTTTCACCATGTCTGTCTGTCCGTCTGTCCGTCCTCGCTTAATCTCTGTGACCGTTAGCACTAGAAAGCTGAAATTTGGTACCAATATGTGTATCAATCACGCCGACAAAGTGGTAAAATAAAAATTGGAAAAAATGTTTTATTTGGATAGCCCCCTGTAAAGTGGGAAAAGATTTTTTTTTAATTTCAACCCTAACGTGTGATATATTGTTGGGAAGGTATTTAAAAATGAATAGGGGTTTACTAAAATAATTTTTTGATAACGTCAATAATTTCGGAAATAATCGCTCCAAAAGTAAAAAACAATATGTCCCCCCCCTCTAACTTTTGAACATAAGTTTAGAAAATATGAAAAAAGATCTGAAAGTAGAATTTAATAAGGACTTTCTAGGAAAATCATTTTGAACTTGGATGGAAACAACAGTACCCACTACCGGGAGCAGTTGCAGGACCGGAGCGCGAACATAATGGATACCCACCTTTAAACTCGTAAGTGGGAACACTTATTGTGACGGACGGGAAACTACGGAACCCTACACTGAGCGTGGCCCGACACGCTCTTGGCCGGTTTTTTTAATAGCAAAGTGGTAAAAACATGAAATACTACCAGGGAAAATGCATTCCAGCAGGTACATGCCTGGAAAGACTTTCCACTTGTGCTGTGTGTGGTGTTCACAGTTTCTGATTACTGATTGTGTAAGTGTAACTTAGGCAGGATTTACGGCTTTGTTTCGTTTTGATGTTTGACATGCTGGACAAGTAGTAAGAAATTTCTGCCATTTAAATTGCATGTTATAGAGCCATGCTGCGGCTATATTATGATTGAAGAACGAATGGGTCAGATTGACCGGGGAAGGACTACGCTCTTACAGAATACCAGCGTAAAATAGCAGCTTAAAACCTCTGTGTTTAATATGGTGAGTGTAGAGAACCAGAGACCCTTTTCACTGGAAACAAAGCATTCCATCTTAATGCTCATTGGTTATCGTTTTTTTCAAACGTCACCTTCACACTAGGATTTTCTCCTGAGTCGTGGATTATATCAAGACCGAGAACAATTATTTGTAGGCCGGCCATACAGATATTTGTTCCGGGTTTGGGGTTTGAACACGCGGCAACTCATTGCTAAAAGCCACGATAAGCCACTGCGCCACGGAACCGTCACAACGGTCACAACGCATCAGCACGTTGATTCTTATTGAATTGGCCACAGCATTCACTTACCATTGGGTAGACCGTGTGCTCATTTGTTATTCTTATTCTTATAAACCCACGAAAGGAGAGGGGTCGGTAGTGTAGCCGCATATTAAGTGGTGTTGGTGTCGGTGCAGAACTCGCGGCACTCGGTGTTCACCTGCGACGTGGTGGCGCCGGGGCGCTGCGGGCTGGCGGCGCTGCGCGACCGCGTGGTGTGCGCCAACGACGCCACCATGCGCCTCGATGTGGCCGCCGCGCCCCACCTCCAGCCGCCGACCATCGCCAGGGTATGCACTGCTACCACGTGCTTACTGCACCACACACCATACACAATAATGTCATAATACGAGTATATAGGGCATTCAAATTTCAGGGTCTTTGACAATACTTACTCCCTGGCCAATGCAGAAGTAATAAAACTACATACATTATGCAAATAAAAATTGATGTAAATAAAATCTTTACTAACGTTAGGTACTATTATTGTTACAGCCTATTAAGTCTCATCTATATCCCCTTGGAATGCTTCATGGCGAGGTATATTTGCCATAATTGCCAACCTTAAGGGGCAGGTTCCTAATACAGTTTATTTTTTTATTGTTATTAGGAAAACGTTACCGCCCATTTCCATCTTATCTTTTCCCTTCTGTCGTTTCATTCCCTCTGCCACCTCCTGCGGCACTTACAAGACAAAATGGTTTAATGAATATCTATTATTTATATTAATATGTGAAGGAAAAATTGATTTTGAGTATATTGCGGCACGAAAAAGTGTGAAATTTGACATAGTTAAAGTTAACATCCAGTAGTGCAAGAAGTTAAAATTATAATATATAATATAATATGTTACAAATTCATACAATAGAATAAAACATGCATTATTTATGTTAATACTGCAGATGTCAAATATGTAATAATCTGTGGTCAAACAGTTGTACAAAGTAGACATTGCAGCCGAAAAATTTTAAAATATTGTTAATAAATAATCTACTTAATTTTGCTCAATAACAATGCTCCTTTTGAACAGTCTGTGGAGTGTATGCCGTGGCAAATATTCTGGTTTCTTACACCCTCTCGCTTCTTCGACACCCACAGGACTATATGGGATAAATATACTAACTTATAATTTTGAAATACATAAATCCTGTTACTAATTTCACTCAAATATCACCACTCGGAAACCATGACTTCCTCCCCCCTGTTACGCCATTGTTTTCATTGACGGAGGTTTTTCACGATGTTTTTCTTCACCACCGAAAACCTTGTAAGTCGCGGCGCACCTCATACCGTACTTCGACTGACCCCCCAAAAATTTGTTACTGCACATTCAAAGTCATAGTTCAACTTACGTGCCGTGATTTAAAACACGGTTTTTAGTCAAATAATTATTGCTTCTCATCTCTTATTCTTTTCAAAGCAAAAGAGCTCTTAATAAAAGTTCACTGAACAGTATCGTTTTGCAATTTATAGGACTTGTTTCCCTCTGGATTCCTCTTCATTAACAATGTGTTTTACGTGGACGAAAGAGAGGGGTGTATCGACTACAGCGCACCGATACGCGAATGGGCGAAGAAACGTGGGCTTGGCGATTTCCCGAAGAAGGACATGAACAGCGTCAGGCTAGACGAATTGGTGCTAAAGCTTGGACACCCTGAGGTAAGACAAGTATCAATATGTTATTAATAGAAATCATGGGCATAATATGGAAGAAAAATAACAATACATGGAAATTTAGTGCTCCCTCCACCTCCTGAAAATCACTAAGTAGATAAAAAATCAATGACCAGTGATGTTTAGATGTGCTGCAACCTCCTTAGATCCACCCTAGACAAAACGTTAGCGTCACTTCATTTATTTATGGTGGAAGAGAATGCAATCATTTTTCAAAATAGGATTTATATCTTAGTGTCAGCCAGAAATCCGTAATATGCGCGGACAGTTCAAATTTTTTAGAAGAAAATAATAGTAACTGTTTTCCTATTGTTATCCCAAATGCAGTCAAACATATAATTGCATAAGCCACAACACAACCTTCACTAACAATAAGTACGGCTAACAATAAGTAGTTTTGACATTCTTAACTAACAAAAAGTAGGGTTGGCAACATTAACTAACAATAAGTAGGGTTAGCAACCTTAACTATAAATAAGTAGTTTTACATTCTTAACTAATAAAAAGTAGGGTTGGTAACCTTCTCTAACAATAAGTAGGTTTGACAACCTCAACTGACAAAAAGTAGGGTTGGCAACCTCAACTAACAAAAAGTAGGGTTGGCAACCCTAACAAACAATAAGTAGTTTTAGCATTCTTAACTAACAAAAAGTAGGGTTGGCAATCTTAACTAACAATAATTAGGATAGCAACCTTAACTAACAATGAGTAGGGTTGGCAATCTAACCTGGTTAGTGTGTTTCGTCCACATGCTAACCCCAGACATATTCCTTGGCGCGGGCAGGTGTACGTGCACCAGGGCAACTGCGAGCACCTGTTCACGTTCTCGGAGGTGCGGCTGGTGGGCGCGCGTGACCCGCTCGTCTCCAGCGCGTACCCGCGCCACTCGGCCGTGCTGCAGCACCAAACCGTCTACTGTACTACGTGCGCCGAGTTCGGCGCCAAGTGGGTGGTGGTGGGCTGCACGAGGGTGCCCTTCGACCCCGCCTTCTTCTGCGAAACATGCTTCAAGCTCTACCTCTACAAGGACGGGCAGAAGATAGGCGACTTCAAAGCATACTCGTACAGGGGGAACGAGATGAATGTACTGAAGCCTCTCGGGTGACACGTGTGAAGTTGCTTGGACATTGATGATGTGAAATAAAGTATTTTTAAGTATCTATGATTTGTTAATTTTATTGTTGAAACTGATATGTTCTATTTAAATACATACATAAACACTTAACCGTCACTCAGAGGTGTAGGCAGAAAATACGGACTTCCATTTGGCACAATCCTGACACACCTATAGCCTCTTTTACATTCCATATAGCTACGCTTACATGCTCGGCAATTAAGGGTACTCTTAATCTTGTCTATTCTCAATAATCCAATTTGGCCGATGAACTTTTGTCTAGGGCGTCCCTTGCCGACTCTTCCGTTCACTTCTGCAATATAAATGTGCTTGGAAAAAAATTTAAAACTAAACCTAAGCATGCCCTTGCAAGACAAGACACAGTAAGTGTCACATGTTACTTTTTTCCAGACGGTAAAATAGGTCATCCAGTATATTTGTTATTGCTCTTCGATTTGGCCATCAATGATTTATTATTTACCTTTAACATAATTATAGGAATCTAAGCAATTTAGTTTTATATTAAAATAAATTAACAATTCATATTTAATTAGTTTAATACAGGCTCTTCTTTCCATTTTACACTCATGATGGAAAAAATACTTTCCGTAAAACTTACTTGTTCCAGACTTACAATCACGGTTAATATAAAAAAGTGCGACAGTTGAATTAGGGATAAAAATATAGTATTTTTCGTATAATATTCTTTTTCTATAATATATAGTACAATTGACTGGAATATAGTACGGTACTATAACGGGTGTTTGTGAAACGCTGCCGAAAACGAAGGCAGACGATAGTGCTAACGATACCTTTGGTGATAGGATAGAAAAAAATCGATCCCGATGAAAAAAAACATTCTATACAATGATTAATTACCTTTATTCACGTTCCACCATGTTAGTACAGCTAAATGAAGCGATAATTTCATAAAAAAAAGTCATGAAAATACTGAAACATAAAACCAGCAATGAAAATTAAAATAGCTGAAAGCAGCTGATTATGGGGTCAAAAAACGCGCGGACTCTGAACTCTTTTTATCTAGCTCGGTACGAAACAATGCATCGAGTATTTACGCTCACTCTACCCTTCCCTTTCACACACGCGCTGCCGCCGCCTGGCCGACTCGTGTAGCCTCGCAATTTACACTTGTTCAATGCTGCTAACATGTGGGGAATTCCCCAAATTACGGGGAATTTAAAGTTGGTTGGGGATTGGTATTATACGGAGATTTTGAAAATCGATTACACGAGCCAAGTCGGAATCCTTTTTCAAGAAATCTAAATACGTATCTTAACATTTTATTAGGTTACTTATGAATATCGAATGCCTCCCTTTTTTAATTATCATCTTACACCACATTTAACTTTCCGATTTATTTTGGCAACTTTTGTGTATCATTTAATGCTTTTCATTTCTTTATTTTTTTTTAAATTTTACAGCAGAGTAAATGCAGATACTGCGGTCCTTTTTAATGGTATCAAGGGAAGGAATTAAAAATACTCCATGGAGTAAAATGCTTGTTACAAAAATATGGAAAGTGTGAAAAAAGTTTCGGTAAAAATGAAGAAAAATTTTAGCTAAAAAATAAATCTTATAAATTTAATTTAATATTGTTTCATAAATTAAAATGAAATTGAGGGGAATTCGACATGGATTTTCGGGGAATTTGACAAATATGTGTTGGTAACGCTGCACATGTAGCACCGAAACCTACCTGCTAAAATTTGCAGGCGAAACAATAATTAGAGGCGGCAATCACAATAAAACTTGGAAGTAATTTTAACAGTTTTGACCTACATAAAAAAGGAAAGTCAATTAAAATAAGGAAAAAGAATTATTTTTTAGATTATTTCTGATAGATTAGTTAACTATCGATCATAATTGCATTTGATTTTAACTATTAAGTTATTTAGTACCATTTCATTTCTATTTTCTTGTACAAAATCAAAGACAACGATGAAATTGTGTTTATAATTGTGCGAGTACCCAATTAGGTACGTTTATTAATTTCAATATCATTTTTGTAGTAATGAACTGCTTACTCCGTCAGGGTACAATTGATTTTCTAATTGTATTAAAAATGACAACTATAACTTCTAAACTCCATTTGAAGACGTGGTCGTAGGTATAACAAAACTTATAAAATTAACGTTGCGAATGTCGTAACGGTTTAACTGTCTGTGGAGATGATCAAAGCGCTAACCGTAAGAACACTCGAACGTAGCGTATGTATTGGGTGTGAGACGGTTCCGTGTTGACGTGCGCGTGAGTGACAGTTCAAACGTTTTGTTTATTAAATTCTTGTTGTCATTACTTGTTGTTTTGTTTTTAAAATACCTAACGCGTACGTTTATAGTACTCGTGAATACGGCAACATGATAATGTACCTTGGAGAAGCTCGCGGGAATGCTTCGCGTGCATTACGAATTTACCAAGAGAAAATTCCGACCGCTCGACACCCAACTGACTCTCGTCTGATAACAGCAGCATTTCAGCGAGTGTTGGAAAATCGACCCATTGCTTCGGTAGTGGCGGGAGGTGAAAGTCTGTGTGTTCTAAAAGAAGTCTGTCTGTGTGTTCTGAAAGAAAGTGACTGTTCACTCTGAGGAGTGCATTTTTAATGTCGTTCGCCGGAATCCGGACCTAGGTACACGAAGTATCGCTAAATTGTTAAGGTGTCAGAATGGAACAAGTGCGTCATACTGTACAGTTCACAAGGTGTTAAAGCGTAACCGAATGCGACCATACAATGTGCACAAAGTGCAAGCTTTAGTTCCAGGCAATCACGACTGCCGACAAGTTTTCTGCCGTTGGTTATTAGACCAGAAACAACGTGTGCCTGGTTTCATTGAGCACGTCATCTGGACAGAAACGGCCTGTGGAACCGAAGAAATACACACGTGTATTGCGAGGTTAACCCACACGCTGTTCGATAAACCGGGCATTAAACCCAATGGTCAGTTTACGTATGGGCAGGTTTATTTAAGTATTGTATACTAGGCCCAGTGTTCTGCCAGAACGACTTAACGGATAGCAATACCTAAACTTTATAAATGAACAGTTGGTTGACATTTTAGACGACTTATCGTTGGCATGTCTTGAGGTTCGTCCGTGAGCGCCTCACCGAGCTATTTCATGATCGCTGGATCGGCAAACTAGGACCACACGTTTGGCCATCTTGCTCACCAGATCTCACTCCGTTAGACTTCTTTCTGTGGGGGTATGTGAAAGAAAGGGTATTTAATCATGAGTGTGATAGTGCTGACGAAATGCGCCAAAAAACCGTGGATGTTTTCGACATACTACGTTCGTACTGTGTCGAAGACCTCACGATGATGTCCTACATGAGGAGACGCAACGCCAAGCCTAAATCTGCCTCGAAATTAATGGGGCACAATTTGAGCCACATCTCATAAGGCCACGGAGGATTTAGATCGGTAAGCTGTTTAATACCTATTTTTTTATTAACTTACTTCTGAACTGATCTGAATAGGTACGTAACTGAATTTATCAGAATAATAAACATACCTACACGATAGATAAAAAAGCATGACTTTATCTTTGTTAAAATTTCATTTAGGTACATTTTTCATTACCTAGGCTGCACTAAAAGTATCGGGAATGGAATATTTCCACTGTCCCTCTCATATTAAAATCTTTTTTATTGAAAACTCCTTGGTTTTAAAAATCGAATACCATTTATTTATTTAAAACAGATTCTCGGTCTTGTCACACGGTTTTGTCAAACTTGTTTAGTCGTTGAGAAAATGGAATTGACTCGAGAAAATTCAAAAGCGATGATTTATTATGACTTTCGAAGTGGTTTAACACAAACACAGTGTATTGACCGGATGATTTCTGCATTTGGTGATGAAGCCCCATCCAAAACCACAATTTATCGCTGGTTTGCTGAATTTCAATTTCAGTGATGATCCCAGTCAAGGTCGTCCAAAAACTGCAGTCACCCAAGAAAACGTTGATGCTGTGCGTAAGCTGATTGAGGAAGATCGACATGTGACATACCGCGAAATTCAGGCAACTTTAGACATTGGCATGAGTCAAATACAAATAATCTTGCATGAACAATTAGGAGTAAAAAAGTTGTTTTCCCGATGGATACCGCATTCGCTTTGTGAAGAGCAAAAGGCGGCTCGCGTTACTTGGTGCGTCAGAACTCTCGAAAGATTCCAAGCAGGATTCTCAAATGCTGTATACAACATCGTATCAGGTCACGAATCCTGGATATAGGCGTACGAACCCGAAACAAAAAACCAGTCACGAGTTTGGGTGTTCGAAAATGAGTTAAAGCCAACAAAAATTGTTCGTTCACGGAGTGTTGCAAAAAAAAAAAATGGTGGCCACGTTTGTCTCCAAAACCGGCCATGTTACGACAATTCCTCTTGAGGGACAAAGAACGGTTAATGCAGAATGGTATGCTAGCATTTGTTTGCCACAGGTCGTTCCTGAACTCCGTAAAGAGAACTGCAACCGCCGCATCATCCTCCATCACGACAATGCGAGTTCTCACACCGCACACAGAACAAAAGAGTTTTTAGAGCAAGAAAACATAGAATTATTAGACCATCCGCCGTACAGCCCCGACCTAAGCCCTAATGATTTCTATACTTTCCCTAAAATAAATAATAAATTGCGTGGACAGAGATTTTCATCACCTGAAGAAGCTGTGGACGCCTACAAAACGGCCATTTTGGAGACCCCAACTTCCGAATGGAATGGTTGCTTCAATGATTGGTTCCATCGTATGGAAAAATGTGTCAAATTTCGCGGAGAATACTTCGAAAAGCAGTAAATACATTTTTAAATAGTAATGTTGTGTCACTTCCTTGATTCCCGAAATTTTCAGTGCCGCCCTCGTAGCGGAGACTCGAACCAAATATTTGATTTATTTAACCTGTGAATTTAAAGCGGCTAGGTGAAGACTAGCACAGTGACAAAACAGTAGGTTAAGTAGATAAGTTAGGTATTTA